TCCAGCCCTGGAAGTAGGTTCAAACTTCAAAGGCTTGTTGGGTCGATTCCTCGGGCCGGTCCAAAAGTTGACTTGACAACCAAAGGGCAAATATGGTCCGGGAAAATCTTCTCCAAAACGTACCTTCCATGGTGAATGATAATCTGGGTGGTCCGTGATGTTATGCGCCATGCAATAGTGCTTGGCCGCATGTGGCCAATACGAATGATGCAAACCAGCTTGTTCCAGGTTGGTCCTCGTGCCCTCGATAATCGCCCTGACGTTCCTCTCAGCAATTGCATTAGTTTTGGAAATGTAGTTTGTACTTTGAACATGCTTCCATTCCAATTGATCCGCCGCTTTCACAAGTTCAGGAGCCCGGTCACTGTAAAACACGTTCACGGTTTCCCCGGTGCGGACAAAGTGCTTGAATGCCATCACACACTGATGAGAGGTTTTCCGTGCAGCTGGATAAACATAACGGAAATCAGTGGCAACATCTCGAACCACAAGTGCAACTCTAGATTGATCAATGCCGATTTCACGATCATCTGATGTGATAAGATGGTCCGCCGTAAGGTGATCACCAAACTTCTTGGCCTCGACTTGAGTGGAACCTCCCTTCTGTCTTGATGGATATTTGTACATCTTCGCCCTGTTACAAGTCTCGCAAAAGGGGTTCTTGGGAGTGTGACACATCAAGTGCTGGAGTGAGGTCGCCTCATCACGCAAAGCTGCTTCACCGCGTTCACGAAGGGCGTCCTTCAAAATAGGCTTTGACACAAAATCGGAAGCGATGACCTTAGGCGCATCTTCGGAGGGAATGTCATGGCACTCTTCAATGACCTCACCTTCCGGTTGGCTAATAGCGTCCTCAAGCAAGAAATCATCGTTCCCCAATTCATCCCCATCATCCTCATTGGTCACAAGCACCTCTTCAACAGCTTCTGGTTCCTCGTCAATGACTAGAACTTCATCCTCAATTTCAATGGGAGCTGATGGTAATGATGTAACCTTTGGAATGCTCTGTGACAAAGCTGGAACAGCATTTTGAGTTGCTGGGGGAATGAATGGAACATTGTCTTTGACCTCGAGCTTGATACGTGAACCATCCGGAAGTCGGAAATAAGGTCTGCTGTGGGCTCTCCAAACGAAATCATATCCGTCCCTGAGGCATCTCATACCCACGGATAACACGGATGGAGCCTTGTCAAGAACATATGGCCGAACAACACTATCGGTCTGTTGGATCTTGACCCTGGCCTGCTTGGTACCGATAATATTCCCATTGGCTGTGGAAAATTTCAGAGGTTGAGACGATTCGTAAATACATCCCATCTCCGCATCGGTTCCCGATAGCAAGTCCTGAGAAGCCCCTTTTTGGGGGAGTTCACGGGCTTCTCTGGCTCGGCCGTTAGGCCTGCGGGGATGCAGGAATCACAGCCGAAATCAGAGTCGCATTGAAATTTGCAAGGAGTCTTCGTGCCTTTGAGCAAATCCTTCATCATAGCTTCATGCATGGTGCCGATAAGAGTTGCGTCAGAGACGGCTCTCTCATCGAACTTCGGAACATAATCAACAGGAAACTCGTGTGCAAACCTTCTCGACGAGGCAGTGTAGGGCCAAAGCTCGCCGTCAGTCTCATAGTTCGAAATGGATGGGTAATCAGAAAATTGCACGCACTTCTTGATACATGGCATACTCTGGAAAACATCGTGAGTCACACTAGGCAAGCAAGGATGCGAGGCGACCGAGTCGAGGGTCGCGGCGCACACCATCGCCTGGAGGAGGCACACCGCAGCATTGCTGCCTTTTGACGATCGCAGAGACTTGAGGGACTGAGAACCCTTTGAATCTTTGAGAAGAAGGCCTGCTATCCTTCTTCCCCTTTTTCTTTTTCTTGTCCCTCGGCGACGTCTTGGGGGTGTCTCCACTAGCGGTCTTCTCGGCCTTTGGGGCTGGAGCTGCCTTGGAAGTTGCGGGGTGCTGCCATGGGCAATCTTTCCCTCTCTCACATCTGTTCGCTTTGAAGAACTTGCACACCTGGGGCTTCGAACCAGGGGGACTCTGCGAACGATACTTCCTTGGCGTCTGGGGTCTGGACCCGCCCTTCTTGCCTTTCCCCTTACCTTTCGGTGCTTTAACATGTTCGAATCGGCAGTCTGAACCATAGGTGCACTGGCCAGTTTGAAATTTGATACATACACCCTTGGGGATTCCAGGAACTGCAGGGTTGTTCGATGGAGTCCTGCCACGCCCCGTTGTGTTGCTTGACATAGCATCCCGCATGTGAACAAGCCTCTTGCGCTCCAAATAATTCCTCGATGCGTCAATCAAGAATTTATAGGAGTGCTTTTCTGTCCCTTCCTCAGCTCGCTCATACTCATTGAGATCATGACTGAGGGGCCGAAACTTTCGAATCTGGCGGTGGAACAGCGCTTCAAGGGTCTTCTCATTTTGCTCATTGCCCATTCCAGCGATGACCGTGTCCCATCTCGTCATGAAGTTCCTGAGGTCCTCGTTGATGAGCTGGACAGAGAGCAAGTCCTCAAAGTCGTAAATTGCACCATGTTTGATGTTCGTGCTGAAGTGCTGTGAACCATCAGAAGAATTTGGCGCCCCCTCGCATAGCGTTTCTCCTTTGCTTCTTGTTCTTTGAAAATGTCAACTTGCCGCGCGAGGTCGCCCTCCAAGATATTCGTCAACGCCGATGCCAGCTTTGCATCAAGATGGACAAACATTCCTGAATCACGAAGGACTTCAACAGTTTGACCTGGGATCCAAGTTGCCTCAATCCATTCGAATGCCTTTTCGGGTTGGTCGGAAGTAGCAACAACAGCATCCCTAACTTTGATCCTCCAATTACGGTACTGTTCGGGCTTCGGGAATCGGGGAATCTGAATTCTGTCACCCTCCTTTACACGAACGCGTTCCGCTGTCGGATCGCTCGAATTACCTAAGTGCTTCAGTAGCTTTCGTCGAAAGGATTCATCCGATGCAGTCGAAGTTGATGACGAAGATGACGAGGGAGAAGATGACGGATCTCGTCGCCGGCGTCGGCTACGGTCCTTCTTCTTTTCTTCTTCTTCTTTTTCTTGTCCTTGTCATTTCCACCATCACCATCATCGCAAGGCCAACCGTCTCCGGTAGCAGCATCGTCCACGGCCCCGGCGGGAACGGATCCGTCTTTGCCGTAGGGGTCGCTCCCGACTTTCGTCCAACTGTGCGAGGAAGCATTCGAAAGTCCGGGTGGAGATGCAGCCAAAGGAACTGTCGGGATAGCCAAGGGGGTAGCTGGTGCCTGCTGAACAGGAGGCGCAGGGGCAGGAGCAGGTTGAGCAGGCGGTTGCTGTTGATTCTGCATCATCTGCTCGACCATAGCCCTTAGCTCTCTGATCTGTCTCTCCTGCTCGCTGATCGTGTTGATGGCGTTTTGGTACTTCATCTCGGCTTCTCTTTCTGACTTCATGGTGTTCACACGCTGCTCAGCATTCATCTGAATCTCGCGTCTCATGGCCTCCGACTGGCTTTGGAGACCGGCAATGATCTCACCATGCCTTGCCTCCGCCATCTGGGCGACCATGGGACCGGTGTCCTGATTCACGAACTGGTTGAATTGGGCATTGTTCTGGGTAGCGTTGATCTGCTGATAGTTCGTCACGTCCTGGTTGATCGTCATCGAAGGATCGAGGTGGACGTTTGCAACATGTTGGTTGAACTGATTCATGGACTGTGGCATAGGGTTTCCCCTTGCGAGATCGGTCTGGGGGTCGTACATGACGATGTCACCATGCCGATGCCGATCTGATCCAACGGGTGAAGGAGATCGAGCACCAGACCGCCCAGCCCTCCCACGGTCACTCCGGGATCGGAGTGATTCGGGGCCCTGACTGCTCAGTGCTTGTCCCTTCCTGATGAGCTCCCTGGCCACTTGGGAGTTTGCTCGACTAGTCGGTTCATATTGCGAGGCGTCTTCATCGCCTGCGGGCTCATCAGGTGTGGGACGCACCTCGGTATGGGGTAGTCCAGGGTCGCCATCCATGGCGTACAACTCTGTACAAAGAGCCGCTTACGGCTGATAACCTATAGAACAGGTTAAACAACCGGGAAGGGTCACAATTGAACCCTGTACTCAGCGCGCTTTTTCCTTGAGCCATATGCAGTCGTAATGATGAGACTGCACAAGTGAGACATTCATGCATTGGGGTTTTACATGGTTGATAAATACATCACGTTGCAAACTACAGTTTGTTTGTTGTTGTTGTTGCTCTTGTTGCTCTTGTTGCTCTTGTCGTCGTTGTCGTGTCGCTCTTGTCGTCATCGTCGTTGTTGTCGCTGTTGTCATTGTTGTCGTTGTTGTCGTTGTTGTCGCTGTCGTTGTCGCTGTTGTCGTTGTCGTCGTTGTCATTGTGGTCGTCGTCGTCTTCGCCGGTGGTGGTGGTGGTGGTGGTTTTGGTTGTGGTTGTGTTATCATTGTCGTTGTCGTCGTTGCTGCTGCTGCTTCTGCTGCTGCTGCTGCTGTGCTGCTGCTGTGCTGCTGCTGTGCTGCTGCTGTGCAGCTGCTGTTCTTGTTGGTCCCCCCCAAGCGAGGCGTGCCTTAAATGGTGCTGTTTTAGCGGTCTCTAGTGATCTGTGCTTCGATAGTGAGCAACCAATTTGAGCAACTCATTGCTTCTTCCCATCTCTCATTTGGGCTCCTTTGGGCTTGAGGGGGAACGTGGATAAGGCACTTTTTTGGCAAGGTGCCCTGAAATGTCCGGCCGGCCAGTGCGCGCTGCTTTTCAACCGCGCATCGTCAACTGAGGTCTGCTAAAAACCCCTAACTATGTTGCTTGATCAAAATGCAAGCCCCGAACTTGATGGATACTACAAGGGAAGCCACCACCCTGGCACGAGAATTCAGGGTGGATGTTGAGCAAGCAACCCTACGAGGGCCCCACGTCCCAATTCAAATTTTCTTGGGCCCGTCTGGCCCGCTGGGGGGTTTGATTCAAACCTCAGATCGTCTGCTTGAGATTCACCAGCTCAGCGCTGCGGCGCCAAAGGGCTTCCCACACCTTGGGGTCATAAGACGTGGTCCTTAGGCTTGCCGCTGGCCGGCGCTTGCCGGCGCCCGAGCCAGAAAGAATCAGTAGCACTGCAAAAAGGGAGCTGAAAAGCGCTGGGGGGCGCTTTGAGTTGGGTTGCAATCCACTCTTTCCTGGGAGAAAAGGAAGTTTGCCAGCGGAAACGTGACATGATTCTGACGGTCGCTGGGTTTACAAAAGCTGGACAGGTTCCACCACTGTCGGAGGCTCACCAAAAACCAGCGGGTCTCCCACGTGTGCCGTCTCAAACGCTTTCAGGGCCCATCAAGCTGAGCCGGGGTTTGACCCGGTAAGGGAACAAAGGGGAAAATGGAGGGTTGGCCCGGTTTAATCCGTCCCTAAAGCCGCTAAGCACCAAACCCTTGCTCAGCCCAGCCCTTAAACAGGGCGAAAGTTCACACGAAGGCCTCAGCAGCCGGAGGAACCCCAACACATCGCAGGACATGCGCCCTGGGGCTTTGGAAGATCCCACACTAGGCATCCGCCCATCTGTATGTCAAACCTAGGGGCCCCTCTTCGTTGGTTCATGTTGCACCGAGAAAGGTGACATCAACCATTGCAAGGGTTCAATACTCCAAATACAACCCGTCATGCACATGCTGAAGATCCGAAAGTGTGAACCTTTAGCATGACAGCAAGCAGGCCACAGTGGTTCAGGCCTTGCGGCTTGGACACCTCAGGGTGTTCCCCCCAAAAGTGAGAACCTTCCCCAAGCCCAATGGGATGCTCTCCTGTCAATCAAGGGGTTCACCAGGAGCTTGGCAGGAGAGAGCCACAGGCAGAATCCAGGTCAAGGCACCCCTCCACAGCCAGCTCCTTGTTCAGCGGCAGGGGCGACGCCCCTTTTCCCAAGCTCTCCGCGCGCCTGGGCCGCGTGAGGCAAGCGCGGCTGCTTTCACGCACCAAACGGTTGTGTCGTTTGGCACCCGGTTTGGGTAATTACTGTTTGCGGGGAAACCGAAAGGAAACAACCAACTTTATATATTTAGAGAGGGGGACCTCCAGAGTAATGAATTTCTTCATGTAAAGCAGCAGCGATATTCAAATCCAACTCAATCGCACACGCGGTGCGTTTATTCTATGCGTAAAAACGGAAGGCAAATCCTATCTAAGTTATACATACATTGCTTATCTGATTCGATCTAGCTGTTCATTGAACTCTGTTGGAAATCAATTGTGGCGAGGAACTCCAGCTTGAATTGCTGCTTCACTTCAAGCCAAACTCAATTTCATTAACAGATTGTGTTTCCTGATAAGTGTCGACGTCAGTTCTAACTAAATCATGCTTGAAAACTTGAAAACACAATTGGCAAATCCTCCTCTTGAGACTGCGCTTTGAAACTAGAATCAAATTGAGCTTCGTCCTTTTCTAAGTCCATTCAAATGTTCATTCAATACGAACTGAGCCAAGCCACAGGAAAGCGTGTCAAACGACATGAATATGTGCCTTGGCAAAACACTGCAAAATAAAGTGCCTATCCGCGTGGTTCCTGTCATGTTGCTGCCCTGAAAAACGATCGAATTGGGTACTCCTCGCAGGAAACTTGAATGATTGAATCTGGTAAATTGCCAATCTCCAATCTTCAATGCAGAGAAATGGCGTCTCAAGAGTGTTTTGAAACCCTTCAGGTCTTTAAAGGCTTTCCAGGATTGGCGGGATCTCTTTGTTTCTTGCTTTTCGAGGAATCTCCAATCTTCAATCAGGCATCCAGGGAAGAAACAGCGAAGTCTTCTGAAACAGCAGGACTGCCGCAACCACCCGGAACCGCCAAGCATCCAAAGCCAATGTGCAAAGCCAACCGAGCAGAACTGCAGAAATGGACAAAAAGTAAACATCTGCCAGCGGGAAGGTGCTGTCCCAGCAATCCAATAAACCGCGAGAAAAAGCAACAAACAAAAGAAAGGATCTGAGGGAGTGTTTGATTGCCCCCACCTTTCCCCTGGCAAACTTGTCCTTTGCCTGTTTGTTCTCTCTCAATCTGATTTTTGTTTGCGAACCTGGCAGATTGCCTTTGTTGCTGTTTGTGTTCCTCGAGTTTCTTGGTTGTCTGGGAAACCCATAAATAGATTGCCTGAAAACATGTAACTCGAACAATTGCAAGGTACTTGCAAAAACCAATCACTCGGAGAGTCTCGTTCTGTTCATATAGGAGCCTGCAGGAACATCCCGCTTGAACAGGCCTGGCGTGCGCCCAAATGCCCAGTGGTCCCAACATGTGCCAAACCTGGGACCGAGAAGGAGAGCTGGGCTGTTTGGGGAAACCCTTTTCACTGGAAAACCCCCATTGGACACCCACTAAATGCCAAAAGGTTCCTTTCGATTCGTTTAAGCTGGTCAACTTCCACGCCAACTTGCTGTCGCCCATGACTTCTGCATCACCTTGAAGAAGATTTCCGCGGCATCGCAGAAACTAGCCCCTACAATCAGCTCCAAAGCCTGATGCAAGAGATCCCCCAGGACGCGCGTCACGGCAATTGGCGGAGTGGCTCGCCCAAACCGTCGGCAGAACGGATTTTCGCTTTCCAAGGCGCTTCCCATCCACCCAGTAGCCGCCGGAGGCCCGCCCGGCCGCCGCAGTGGCAAGCAGAACGGAGGTCTCTGCGCCCTGCTCCGGCGACTTGGCGAACTTCATCACGGCCTCCGGCGCCTCGGCAGAGCCGGGCCTTTGACCATACAAAGAAACTAGATGTAAAATACCCTTCCACCAATTGACACGGAACCTGAAAGAGGGGGTCCCTTAAAAGTAAAATGGTCTTGCAGGACTTTCGTGTCAGGTTCCATGTTGATCGGTGGGAGGGCATACTATGTTACAATGGGTTGGGTTAACAAAATGACTCAGTAGCACGTATACAAAAATAGCTGAACAATTGTTGATCAAACAACCTCTTTTTGCTTTCCCTTTGCAAGGGACCCGCGGCGGTTGTTCAAAACAAATTCTGCCCAACCCAGCTCAATGGAAAAAGCCATTGTTCTTGGATAATGAACTCCTGGTTGACTCACAAGGGCCAAAAGGGTGTTACTTCAGAGAGGATCCTTCACTCCTTAGCTTGATTCATGTGGGGTCAACATTCACGCTCATCTGTGATACCAATAGAGGGCGGGTCGGCATGGGGGCTGAGTTTTTCAGATTCCTGGGGGCTGAGTTTTTCAGATTCCTGGGGGCTGAGTTTTTCAGATTCTTGGGGGCTGAGTTTTTCCATGAAAAACACTAAAAAATACCAAACATATACGATCAAGACCGGTGACCTCTTAGATTTATTGGGGTCCGTTTTTGTTTTTTTGGCTGATGACATGCAAGCACAGATTCATATTCGATCCAATGAAGACTCAGATGCATCCAGACCTGGAAAATGAGCCAGCTTCAATCTGCACAGAAGACAGCCTGTTGAGAACTATTTTGCACAAATATCATTGTTGGACACAAATATTTAGCAAACGTGTGTCTGTAGCATATTTTTGGATAATTAGCATGCTTACGCATGCCAAGTTTATAAACCTCAGGGTGCTAACTTTTGGAAGACGTATGTTTGGCACAAATCTTCAACACAAGTTGCATACGTATGCAATATTTTGGAAGACGTATGCTTAGCAATCTGCAAGCAGATGTATGTTTGGGACAAATATTATTGTTGTGTTGCAATTCTGAAACACGTAAGTATGGCAAGCGCAGCTTGCCAAGCATATGAAATCATAAGAAAGGTAAGATATCACTGATCTATGCAGCTTTCAGCTGCAAGACTCATCTCTTTTTACAGTTGGATGTTCAATATTTTTCAATATACGCACGGGCTCTGCCCATGCTCTTGAGAAAAGACAGCTAACACAAACATATTTATCGCATAATGAGCTGGAGCAATTGGAGCACAGCTCCAATCTAGTTGCTTGAGCTCAAGAAGCACAAGATGCAAAGATGAGCACCTGCAACGATATCTGCAGATGCAAATAACATTCTCTGCATAAAGCTGTTCAGCTTTGGAATAAGAGCTTTGGAATAAGATTCTCTGCAGCTATTCGTGTTGCTGAAGAGCTCTTGCAACAGTAAAGCTGTTCAGAATAGATTCAAGTAGACACAAGCCACAAGCAATTGCTTGTGATGAGATGTTACCTGCAGAAGATGAAATGAGAGATGAGATAAATTATCTCCAGTTACCTGGAGTTACCTGCAGAATATCTTGGAAGAGGCTTATGTTCTGTTGATACACATCTCATCATATTATTGATGTCTTGCATCAAGAAAGCTTGCATCAAGAAAGCATCAACAAAGTATTGTCTTCAGATGATGGGCTGTGTTTTTTTGGTTTTCTTGGTGTTTATGAGCCAAAGGCACCAAAAAAAAAAAAAAAAAAAAAAAAAAACAGACCCATGGCCCTGAACTAGCAGATGCAGATGATGGGCTGTGTTTTTTGGTTTTCTTGGTGTTTATGAGCAAAGGCATCAAAAAACAAAAAAAAAAAAAACAGACCCATGGCCCTGAACTAGAAGACGCAGATGATGGGCGGTGTTTTTTTGGCTTTTTTTTTTGCTGAGAAAAACTCAGCCCCCAGGAATCTGAAAAAAATCAGCCCCCATGACAACCCCTTCTGTACCAATATGGGCATCCCTGTGACTGCTGCGCAACGTGACGGGGAGTGCCCCGCTGGCCCTTGGGATCACAGGTTCCAACCTGAAATCCTTCACAAAGATGCCTTGCCTGAATTCCCAAACAATTCTTGCAAGTGTCGGAGCTTAGGGCCGCGAGAGCGAGAAGGTAGGACTTGGAGCTTGAAATGAACCAACGGGATGAACCAAAAGGCCCCTGCTCCCGCAACACCCCCGCGGGCTCTCTTGCAACAGGACTGGAGCCACATGGTTTGAGGCCCGGGCCCGAGTGGGCAAATAACGCTGCAGTTCTGTGTCCACAATGCCAGGGTCCAAGACATTGGCCACCACTGGCAAGCCTTGCTTCTGCAGGCGCCGTGCCAGCTCATAGGTAAACATCACCTCAGTATACATCAGCGCGGCCATTCGATTCAGCATGCTTGAACTTGCTTGAGATGTAATTGCGCGATGCTGCCCTCGTGCTAGGCAAGCCGAACAAACGCGGGTAGCCAAATGCTTGTTTTAGCTCCCATGGACTTCCAGCCATTTGGAGAGGTTTGAAGGGGGGGGGGGGGGGGGTGGGGGGTTCTTTCCGGACGCATTGGCAATGTGCGAGCAATGCTTGAGAATTTCACGCGCCATCCATCTGGTCTCGCAACACAACAGTCCACAAACGCCAGCCACGTACCTGGATTACGGGCCGCTTCAGCCGTGCCTTGCTGAGTGGTTCTTACTGAGTTGCCTCTTTTCGGAGGGACTGTCGAAGGATTTTGCCGTGGCAAACGGCAAAAGAGAACATGATCATTATGACATGAGATGCAAGCACTACGGAAACAGGCTTCACGTGGCTTACTTGCTTGCATCACCCGCCTGCGCCAGCTTGGACTGGCCATAGGCCGTCCAGGGGTAGTAGTCCACCTGGCCAGCATCCAGCTGGCCCGCGTCACCAAAGCCCAAAGGGCTCCGTACAAAGTGGGCGGAGGAGGACACGTTGATGATCCTCATGGCTCAACGGACCTTGCAGTTTGTTTCCATAGCAAGGGGTCGTGTGAGCGTGGCGGTGTGATTTTTGCTCTTGTGCTTTTTTGGAGGAGTGTTTGCTCACACTTGGGAGGGACATCATCCGCCAAACTATGCCAACTTCGGGAACCAAAGGAACCCCAACTCAAGGCACCCCACCCACCCCACACCCACCCCATCCCCCTCCCCTATTGCACCTGGCGGGATCTTGCTGCGAACCCGCAGCCGTCAGCTGCGGGAGCAGGAGGTTTACCAGCAGGAAGTGGCTCAAATAGTTCACCTCCACTCTTCCACCAACTTGGCGCTTGAACCGGGCACTCCCTGGGGAGGTGAGTCACAATCTAGAACCCGGTATTGAAATGGTCGTAAACCCAGAACCATGTAAAGAATTAAGAAGGTGGCCGCAACTATTTCTGGCTGAGACTGCCCCTTACTATCCTTCATTTACCCGGGTTTTGAGCAAGTGGCTCAGGTGTCCCCCCCAAGGAAGATTCACGGGCGAGCTGGTTTTACCTCGAGACGAACCCGGTGAAGCCAAGCAAAAAGCTCGCTCGCCTGTTGCCTGCTTGAAGCTTTGGAGGTCAGGGGGCGGTCCCCAATTGGTGCTAAACGGGCCCCAATCCCAAAACTCCCCAACTGCCAGTGAGCCCAGGGAATGGAAGTTCCCACTTCCAGAAAACGCATGCCAGGCCTGACGGTGCTAAACAACACCTGGACCGTTGCAACCATTCTGAAAACGCATGCCAGGACAAGCAGAGGGGGCACTCCACTCTCAGCCTCCAGCTGGTACTCGTGGCCATCCTCCGTCACCCGGCGCTCTGGCAGCGCCATCACCGCTGCGTTGCAGATCAGCGCGTGCAGCGGCAGACTGGTGGCCTAGAGATTTCCCTGTTCTTTGGGCCTCTTCATAGCCTAAGGAGCTATCTTAGCCCGGTCACCCTCCAATAAGGTCATCTGCGGCCGCGAACCCAAAGGAGGAGGTTCAAACAACGTGCTTAAACATGTTGACACGAGGTATTCGCCCAACCCTGCCCACAAAAACCAGACCCTGGATTTCCCAAATGCGGGACGCAAACAAGAAAGCACCAGGGGCACCAACCTTCAGTGAGTTTCGTAGATCGAAGGCCAGTATAACCAGGCGCGGAGCCACGAGAAGGGATCGCCCAGACAAAACCCTAAGGCCAGGCTTTCCGAGGTGTCGACCTCCGGCTTAAGGGACTGTACGCCAGGCTCCGCGATTGAAGTGTTTTGGGTGGGTGCTTGAAGTGCGGGCGCTTTCCGGATACATGTCTTGCAGCTCGCCCACACCTCTCGCAAGGGCAACTCCAAAACGCCACAAGACAAGAGAAGGCGACATCAGCAACATGCAAACCAGCAACACAAGAGCCTCAACCACTGGTTCTATCAGACTCAAAGACCCTCAAACAGCACAGCTCCAGTGGTCAAAAGTGGCTGGAGCACCTCTCTGTCTCACACACGCGCGCGCGCACACACACACACACACACACATGCGCTCGGACCCGGGCTTGGGCCAATCCCCTGTGTTGGAACATGTTGAAAGCCATGGTTTAGACTCCTCTGTGCTTCCTCTGGCGGAAGGAACTAAGGTTGCAGATTGCCTTGGAACGACCAGATTTCCAGCGGGAAGGACCCAAAAACCGCGGCCTGGAAAGCCTGCGCCGCCGAGCGCACGGAGCCCAAGTTGGCCAGCTCCAGGGGCAAATACTCCAGCCTTCGAGGCATTCCCAGCTCGAGAAAGAAAGAAACACGCTGGAAATCCTCCCCCGTAGCTGGAAATCTGGAGGGCCGCCCTGCAAATACATTTGCCAAAGGAGAAGGGAATTGTTGTGAACCCACTTTCTATATGTGAATTAGGGGTGGGGATTGCTCGGAGCAGCAAGCTTGACGAGCCGTACTATTTTCTCCAGAGTCCATGCATGACTGGTGAGGAAGGGCATCAACCGAGCACTTCAACTTGAGGTGCCTTTGTCGTTTCAAGAGGCAACAGGTGCAGTGTTGGGCTGCTGGCGGAAGGCACTCCAAAACATGAGCTGCTGGGGCCTCAGCATGCTGTTGGAGAAAATGCTGCTGGTAAGTGGTCAGAACGAAACAGAAACCTTGGAATCCGTCTACTTTCAACAATGCTAGGAAGGAAACAAATCAGCGTCCTAAACAATTTGTCCATGACAAACCCGTAGGGGCCTGAGCCCAAAACCGATGCCCGCAAAAATTTATTGGCCGTTGCTTGGTTTCCTGTTGGTGTCCCTTCAAGACTCTACCGAAAGCGAGTCGAACCCACCCCCCCACCCCCCCCGTAGTTTGAGGTTCCTCGACGGCCAAGCAGCTCCGCCTCGCTCTTGGCCTTCAAGTCTCGGATCGCTGCCTGGGTCTTTGCCTTCGGGGCACGTGCCAAACTCGTTGGCCGAGCCGACCCCCCCCCCAAAAAAAAGACAAAAACACGGGCGAGCAACGCCGGGCAGTCAGAAATTGAAGTTCTTCCACTGGGGTCATCGGAAAAGGGCCAGCCTGGATCCCCTCCTCTCCTCCTCCTCCTCCTCCTCCCACCGTTCCGCGCCCCGCCCAGAGCCGCCTCGTCATGGCCGGCCAGGAAGATCTTGCCGTAGCCGCCCTTCGCGAGGCCCAAGGCCGTGGCCTTGCCTTGGCTGGCGGCTGGTGGATACATGTTCGATAACCCAAACCCAAAAGAATGTGCGTATATATATATATGTATATATATATATATATCACCATACTTTTACTCAGTTGCCCAAAGGACTCGGAAATTAAAGCTTGACCTTTTGGGGCCACTACTAAAGTTGGACCAACATGGGAAAACCAATAGGTTGGTCGGTTTTGAACTACCGAGTTAGTTAGGGTTTTGGGTCGCAATGCAAAATGGATGCCCCCCTCCCCCCCCGATCAAGTGGTTGATTCCCCCATGGCCCGAAAATGACAACCCAAGACCCAATTTGCACACACCCATTGTGGCTCTTGGCCTCATTGGCACTTCCGGGCACTCTGTCTATAACAGGTGCCCTCCCGAAACCACAAAAAGAGCCCGAGTGGAAATGCGCTTTCCTCCCACGCAGTCAAGCTCCGTCAGTGGAGGGTACCATCTTTCCAATGGAAGTGCGCAGGACGGCTCTGGAACCATCCTCTTGAAAGTGCCTCTAGTCCACTCCCTGGATTGTTGGAATGGCAACGGAAACCCCCGTGGATGAAATTAAAAACCTGGCTGAGTACGGGGGATTAAATCACCAAAGGCCTCTTGAAAGGCACCGACCGGGGCGCCGATGCCCGTGGACGCGCCAGTGATCAGCGCCACCTTGCCCTTGACCTCCGCACCCGGCGCACCCTGCGCCCGAGCCCGGGCAGTGCGGACGTGGCCTGCGGCCAGCGCGGCCTCGCTGGGCGCAAAAAGCGTTCGAGATGCGCGTGAAAGACAAGGGTCCCGTGGCCAATGGTACAACCCTTGTTGTTTGTGTCATACCTCCTTTGCCGCGCTGCTTTCACAGAACGTGAGCGAACTGGCTCCATTGCTTTGCCATCATCGTAGTCGCCCCCGAAAGTGGCAGGTTAACAGGAAACAACCTCAAAATAGCGGCCCCGGGTGAGAAAAAAAAAATGCTTTCCCGCCGCGCTGCCCAAAAGGCAGTCGTCATCTTGCGCCGGTCCGCGCATTTCTCTGCCGCCCGTCTGACGTGCGGACGGCCGAGCTCGCCTCCACGGCGGACAATGGCCGGCCCCGGGTGTGGCTAGGTCCAATCACGTTTGTCCCATCCCCGCAAATTTTAGGACTTTAGGGCAATACTTTGGTGCACAGACATTCTCACTGTAACTGGCTACAAAACTTGAAGAAGCAGTTGCCATGGCACCCCGCCCCACAGAAATCTATAGAGGGCTTTCCAAAAGCGAGATGCTTCTAAACAGGGCCAGACTTCGACCCCCTGCCCAGAAGTTTACCTGCTTGTTGCAATAGATATATGTGTATATATATATATATACATGTATGTATATATAAATACATATGTATACATGCGGGGGCTTGCATAGCTCCTTGGCTTGCAGCGGCCAACCCGTGCGCCTGCTCCGCTTCTCCGCCGCGCCCGCGCCGGGACACGCAGCGCGGGCAGATGTTCCGCGCAAAGGGGCGAGCCATGGCCGGCAGGGACGGCCGCCATGGCGTGTGCCGAATGAACGCCAGGAAGGTGTTATGCTGATTTGTTCGGTAGGTGCTCCAAAAAAAAATTGTTGGGGGGGGGCCCTCTTTGTGCATCAACCTTTTCAGCATTCGGATTCTCCAAGTTGCCGCTCGAAAGCCGAAAGCCGCAAGAATCAGGGGCCTTAGAGCCTTGAATATCGCCGCAATCGGATGAAATCGGACAGAGCAAGAACACGGCCACCAACGACCAAAGGTGGGAACATGAATGCATGCTGCTGATGGCTGGGCCACGAGTCCCGTGTGGACTTTGACCCGCCGCACCCCTTGCTGAACAGCCAATGGGCAATCCAGATTTGCTTTGGCCGGCCAACTTGGACATCTCAACCAGTCGAGGGAAGTTCAACGAGATGAAGGCCTTTGGGGCCAAAAGTCCCTTGGCAACCTCGCCAAGCTTTTAGGCTTCAACAAGCCACAACCCCTGCCGAGTGTCTGCCTTATGCATTTCTGCCCTCAGGCTCAACACTAAGGGGGGCCAACGATTCCGCAAGTTGCAATAAAGCTGCATGCTTGAATGGCACAGCACAATATCTACACAGCTATCTATACCTGTGTATATATATATATATATGTGTGTGTGTGTGTGTGTATGTGTGTGTTTATGTGTATATATCATCATATCCCAATCTTTGGCTTCTACCCCTTGTTCTACATACAACATGTATGTTGCCACGGCTGTTTGGCAGTCGAGAGGGAAAACTGTGAAAGCCCCGAATGCCGCAACCCGATAAAAAGGTAAGCGTGGTAAGCCGAGTCTTCCTAGGCGTTTGCGCTGAGACTGGGCCCCCAGCCCCTGACCCGCTGCGCAGAGCTGCTAGGCCCCAGCCCTGCACCTAAAGAAGCCAAGGGCCAAGGGGGCAGCCCCTGAAAAGTGGGAGGGGGGGGTTGACCCTGAAACTGGCGTTCTTGAAACCGTTGCAAGCCACCTGGGCAGCTGACCTTGCACGTATGAATCCCTCATCTGAAAGGGGAAGGGTGAATTTGGAAGAGGGGCACCCTTGACCCCCATTTCCTCGTGCCACCAGATCCAGCTGAACGAGTCCTAGAAATTTGGGCCGAATTGATTGTTCCCTCAGACTCTCAAACCCTCAGACCCTCACACCCTCACACCCCCAGACGCTCAGACCCTCCCTCCCTTGAAGATGCATCCCAGGAATCCCAGCCATCCAGTCCGCAATGACCTCCGCTTCGGCGCGCTTGTTGTTGCACCTGGTCCACCGAGCTAAGAACTTGGGCCCGGCGACGCCGGGCCTTGTGAAGCTAGAGGCGCATGAATGATTCAAGTTGGTTCAGGGACACGTTCCAAGCATCAAGCCCCAGCTTTGACATATCCCCGCAAACTGGGCGGCCTCTGGAAGTGCAGGGCCATCTCAATGCAAAAGCTCAGACTCCTTGTATGTCAGCTTTTAAGGGGCCAATCTGAGAACACTTGGGGGAGGTCCCACTTGCCACCTGGCCAAACTGGCCTCTTCACACCACTGGCCATTCTCAGCAAGTAGCCCTATACTCAGATGGTATCTAGCGTCCAGGGCAGGTTGAAGGCGAACAACACGTTTCTCACTTTGACAACTTCCCTCCCAGCCAACACCCGAAGGCTCCCCGCCTTTCCCTGGCCCCCCGTAAAACTCGGACGCGGGCCGGCCCAAAGGCGTGCGGGCAGTTTGCTCACCAGGTCCCAAATCTGACTTCGAAGTCTTCGGGTTGCTGGCCCCTCACCGGTCACCAGCCCACGCCGAGGCGCCACTGCGCGCCGCAGGGGGTCTGCACCCAGTCCGCCCACTGGCCTTGGGTCCAGCCATCGAAGCGAGGCTCGCTTTCGGCGAAGGAAGGCCAGGGCGACCAGCCTCCTGACAGTGCCGTCGGGCCCAAAACGCGCCAGGAGAAAAGCCGTGGAGGGTGGAAGACTGCGCTCACCCCTCCTAAAGAAAAAGCCCCGGTACAAGCCAAGGTGGCAGTGGGATCTGGTTGAAGAGCGACGGGGTTAACCCATATTCTGCATAAGCAGAAGGGGAAAACAATGGTTGGAAGGAACCGTCCCCCTGAGGGAGAACCATGCTTGACGCCTTGGATGCTAGTTGCACAATATGGCTGATGCAGGACTTGCATGCGCTAATCAGCCTGCATCCATTTCTCAAGCGGTTAGGAGCTACTTCGAAACTGGAAGAGCCCCGGAAACATTCGAGCAGCCCCTCTTCGCCACGCACTGAGGCCCTTCGCGGGGATTGCCAAACAAAGCGTGAGGACCTTTCCATGCGAGCGAAAGAGGGGGAACACCTCGAGTCCAGTAGAACCTTCAAACTCCAATAGTCATGATGTAGCACTTGTCCGAGCTGGCAGGCCCTCTCCTTTGCCATGGCCTTTGCCCCCGTTCGCCGGCTGCACCGGCTGCACCGGCTGCACCGGCTGCGCCGGCTTTGGAGGGGGCGGTGGCTGCAGCGACCCTCAGGCGCGAGTGACGCATAGCCTCAAAAGCTGCCCAACGAAAGGGTTTTTGGGATGCAGGTGTTCCGTTGCCAAGGTACAACCGAGGATCCTCAAGGGACACCATTTCCTCCACCCTCAACCGAGATCCTTGCTCAACAGGAGCCCAGGAGCAATGCACCCAGTGCCAACCCTCGAGCCCAGGCACGTGGCCCGGCAGGCGGGCACTTGGCGAGATCTCGGCAGCTCTCGCCTGAAGGACCGGGCCCCTAGCTGCTGTGCACCCCGCGAGAGCCGACGTTGCAGCCCCAAGCCGTCCCAGGGAAGGTTGTGAAATAGACTCCCAGCGCCCAGCACGCACACGCACACTCGCACACGCGGATGGGAGTTGTCTGTGGCGCTTCACTTATCCCTCACAGCTGCCGCCGAACTCTCTATCGCCATCTGTTGCCAAATGCACCTGCCTTGCGGCTGGCCAGCCGGCGCTTGTGCCTGCCAGCACTGACAGCACGTATCCTCTCCTACTGTTATCACCAGCTTCCAGCTTCCGGATTAATAGACCTGCTGCCTTGGGGGGGGGGGGGTGATTGGCCCACAAGAAACAATCTCCCTCCAAAACTTGGTCAAGGCCTTCATGACCCAGCGGCTTGTTCCTAAGATTTCAGGGATTGCAGCTATCAATCGCCTGCAGTCTACCGAGGTTCTGATCATCCCGATGCCCCCTTTCTATTGGAGGAAAGGGGCCTCTGCGACGCATACTGGGCGCAAGCTTGGGACCCCTAAGCCAAGCTCTCCGCAAGCGCCTCGCCCGGCTCCGTCGCCGTGTCCGCCGCAGCAGCAGCGGCTTCCAAGAGCACCTGCCAATCGCCCGTTGCAACTTAGGGCCCCAAGGGGAGGCCCTTCAGATCCGCACGGACGAAACAGCCACTGAAAGCACCCTTTGAATCAGTTCTGAAACATGGTTGTCAAGGTTTCTCCGATTCGACGCTTGACAGAACTCCAGCACTCCAGCACTCCAGCACTCCAGCACACCGGCAGGCAAAGACGGCTTCTTTGCTTTCTACCACTGCACCTGGCAACGCGTCCGCCGACTTGACCGTGACCTGGAAATAGAAACTATCACGCTTGGATTCGGACATAAGCTGGAAAAACTCAGCGTGCACGGCCAAGCTCGCAGGTCATGGTCTTGCAAACGACTCCAAGAAGCCCAACCCGTCCCCCCACGACCCCACACAATACACAACACACACACACACACACACCAGGCCCCACCTGCAGGTTGGCCAAGACTTGCGTGAGGGCCTGAGAGTGCTGAGCCAAAAGCCTCAGTGGCCGGCCTGGGATCCCAACGCATGGAACCTAGCACACGCAAAAGCTAATATGAGCATTCGTGGAGAACAGGGCTCGTCCTGCCCATTCAGCTAAGAGGTCAACCTCGGTTTGACCCCTCGCCATCTTGTGACCATATCCACTTATTCGGCCACGCTGCGCCGCGGCAGAACGGCAAGAGCTCGACAGGTCCCGGGGCAAAACTGCCGCCATGACGAGGAGTGGAAGCCACTAGCAACTGCTTTTGAAGGCAAAGTCGCCCCAAAGCTGGTTCTTCACTCTATATTTGAACCTTGGAGCACAACAGGTACTGTTGGAGATAGAGAGGGCCTCAGGCTCGCCACACCTCTCGGCACGAAGACGGAAAAAGACGTTTGGACCTTACACCTACCGCTCTTGGCTGATGTGCAGCTGTCAGGCGCATACATATCCTGTGGGCAAGAGTTGAGGCTGCCTGCTGGCCCCGGGGTTGCTGCTCGCCCATGTTCATTATGATCCCAGCCGGGCCTATGCAAGACACTGCAACTGCTGGAGCCCACATTTCCGGCGTGGCGGGTTGCAAGCTGCAACCACACATGACCAAACCCAAACGGAGCTGCCAACAAGGTGATGCCAAGAAGGTCGACTGTCGGATACTTCCTTCAACCAAGGTCCTGGCACAATCCCGCGCTCGGATGTGAACTGACAACTTCTGACGCTGTCCATCGGGCAAGTACATCTCTCAATAGCTGCCTGATGCCCTGACATGCAACACCAACTGCCCAACACTGCTCGAAAACTGTGACCAGGCGCCGACTTGCTTGAAAAGTGCAACAACAATAGCCCTGCGCTGGGGGCATGCCCATGTCCGTGCAGAGGAAACTTAGCCCCCCAGTATCCACCATGCTGCGCTGCATAGATCTCATTTGGAAGAAGCGGCACGACATGCCTGCCGAAGGCTCCTTTTCACTGCTGATGGCTGCTGGCTGTTGCACGAAGGGTCAGCCTTGTCGCGCCAGAAAATTGTACACTCAGGACCCTTGCTGGCAAACCAAAGATCCGAATGACGGAAACTGGCAAACAAAAGCCAGGATCCTCAGCAAGGCCACGGACGGGTACACCAATTAGGCGTGACACGTGGGCAAGGGCCCCAAGCAGGCCCTGGCAAATTGCAGACGGGCCGTTGCTCAAGAGCCTTTGGCCCACAATGTGTTTTACTTGGGCAGGACCGTGTTCACTCACTTGGCCTCTCATCGGTAAACTATTCAAAGGCTCTGGCCGTGCCGCAGCTAAGCAGAGAAGGGTAATCGCCACAATGCTAAAGATCGACTGGGTTGCTGTGTTTGGCTGGCTCTTCAATTTATGGGCCCAGGTGGCACACCTTTCCTTACCAACTATTTTCCTTTCTAGCCAATGAGACGTGACCGCTCTATATGGAGCCTCCTTTTGCAGTGTTTTTTCTGTTTTCTTAATTGGGCTCGCGGAAGCCAGTGATTCAGGTGGGCTCACAGCTTTGGAGCCGCCCGGCGGGCCACCCAAAGGTAGTCCTCCGGCAGGTTGCCTCAGATTCAAGGCCTTCGCCTGGGGGCCCGGTCGCCAAGCGAGGGTGTGGCAATGGTGTGATCATGCCAGGCCAAGGCTATGGTGGACATTGGCAGGGGGCAGCTTCAGGGTACTCTTGTGACCGTTCCTAGGATCCTGGTACGACTCTTGTGAAAGGAAAGGCATACAAAGAGTTCACCTGCTGGGGGGGGGGCAACCATGTAAACCCGCACTTGAGAAGCGCATATTTTTCCAATGCAAGACCCGCCTCTCACTAGCTAGCACCCACAAACTCTAAAAACAAAAAACTAAAATCTGTGATTTTCTCCTAGATGTTCCTTCAAAACAGCCTCTAAAAACCGACCAGCCCCCACCCCCCCACTGCCCGGGGCCCTTTGCCCCCGCGCCAAGCTGCGCTCCACGTAGCCCGTGGGCAGCCCCCGCAGCCGCACCAACGGCGCGTCCGTCGCCTCGCGGCCTTCGAAGGCGGCCGCGGCGCCGTCCTGCACGAACTTGCGGAGGAGCACCTCGGTGCGGAGTCTGGCGGGTTGAGACAAATACCTTCATGGCACCCGGAAGGCCGAAGGTTCTAGAGGCTGATTGCCGATTCGTTTCAACCATGGTTCTGTCCGAAAGCCGGCCGCTTTCCTTGGGTGTAAGGATCCCTGGAAAGAATGGGGAAGGCACCTCCTAGAAGGTCGAGAAATGCCGCCTTTTGGTGCTTGGGCATGTTGATCCGACGGATGGGCTTTTGCGGAAAGGGAAAATGAATGAAGGAGACTCAAGGAAGGAAAAGGTTGAGTCCAAAATGGACCCAAAAAAAGGAACCTTCGTGAAGTTGCAAACCCTTCTGTCGCTATCATTTGCTGCCAAACCTCATGATGACCAGGCCAACCACTGGATCAAACATGCTCGGAACCTCCAATCGCCCATTTGCCTGATTTGCTCATCTCTGGAAAGCAGGTGAAGGTCTGGCTGCCTAAGCATCACTTCCTTCACCCATGCATACTCATCCCAAAACCTGTACTCAACAAACAGCCCTCGCCACCCAAAGCATGGCCCCCAAGTCAAACCAAGTCGGCACTGACAGTCGAGGCAATGGAGACTTCAGTTGGTGAACCACCGCTTCCCTCGACATACATGCACTGAGAATTGTCCATATCCCATGGTCTGATCGCCTTGCGCTTCGGGGGTATGTGAACAGCCCCGACAACCAATTCCTGGAGTAAAATCCGGTGATTTCCACACTCCCACGAAACACAAACTGTTGCTGTGATCGAGCAGAAGGCAGCTGGGCTCCCACTAAACAGTATCTCGCTGCAATCCCACCTCTGGTGTCGACGGCATGTTGATTTAGGCTTTAGGGTAGGGTTCCGGTTGATTGGGTTAGGGTGGGGCTTAATTTTCAGCTGTGTGCTCACCAATAGTGGGGTTGGGTTGATTTACGCAAGCTCTAGTTGGATTGTAGGTGGTTTCAGACTTCTCCGAAGATACCTGAGAAGGTCTGGTTTCTGGCGACTAGGCGCATGAAGGCTTGGCGCTAAGGTAAGTGTAGCGTCCATTTACCGGTGGCTTAGCCCAGGCTCACGGGACGAACTGATCGACCCATTTGTTCGACCGACCGCCTGCCCCATGCCCATGCGGCCCTGGAACACAACTTCAGAGCCAAACATCGGAACCGAGCACGATGGCCCTCTTTCAACTCCTGCTACCCTCATGCTCCAACCAGTAACCCCATTCTCGAGCTGGGGCTCCTCCACATTGCCCTTGGCCATCCAAAGCCGCTCCTTGCTGGTGTTCGGATACCTGCAGTCATTTCGGCTGAGTGTCACGCAGGTCTCTCATTTGAAGGAAACCCAGAAAAAAGTCAAATCCATGTATCGCAGACTAGAAATGTGTGTGTGTGTATGTGTGTCTCTGTGTGTTCAAACCTAGCGGTAGTCCCTTCCCGGTGGTTGGCTTATTCCTTTATGCCGCCTATAACACCCCGTCAAAAAGAAACTCTCCAGCCAAAAGCGAAAAGACCTGAAGGGCTCTGTTGGTCCCACATCGAACTCGGGGCGGAGGCGGACCCTTCCTCTTGCCTCCTGAAGAAAAACCATGCCGGTGTCAAGCTGGGCAAAATGAACAACCTTGAGGTTCCCTGAGGATAGAATGACTATCAGTTAAGCTTTGAACCGTCTGGGAAGCAGATTCTCACCAGCACATGTTTGATTGACCCCCCACAGCGGTTTTCCATAGCTTGTTGTATCCGTTTGCCCGTGCCTGGGTGTGCCTCCAAATTGGAGACGCCCCCCAACATAAACATATGTAACATAAGCGGTATCCTGTTGGCAGAAAAAAAAGAAAGAAAAAAAACACGGGCAGCAACTCAACAGGGGACCACCCCATCGCGCTGTCAGCTCCTTCGCACGCCGATTGCGTTTCCCGGCATTTCGTGTCGAAACGCGTCGGGGCGCAGCTCGTGGACCAACTCCTCCACGGTCACCGGCTCGGTGCGCCTCACCAGCGCCTCAGGCTCGCAGCGGCTAACAGCGGCTAAGCAGCATCCCCCCAACCCGCCCCCCCCAGGAATACCCCCCCCCCCCTCTGTGTTGCCCGTTTTTTATATGTACATATATGTATATATATATATATATATCGATACGCATCTGTATATATAAGAGGACCGCAGGCATATGGCTGGCTGAAAAGTAGGATTCGGTCAGCCCATCTCCACCTTTTTTGATTTGTTCCTTTTTTTCACCAGAAACTCGGGGGGCAAGTGTTTTGCTGGGGGATGTTGCGGGTGCCCTTTTCACCATACCCATATTCATGTTGACCCCGAACACAAAGAGTTGTTTTGTCGTGTTGTTCAACAGGAGCCTGGGCCAACAATCAAAAGAAGCTGACAACTTCCTGCTGGCAATCCCGTCAAGAGCGGCTGCCAGCCAAAAGTGTGCCCGTCTTCCCATGGACACTGTAAACATGAAAGGTGTGGGATTCAAACTTCCCCTATAAGAGTATTGAAACACCAACCTTAAGTCTGGCCATGTGAGTATTTCTGGACCCCAAGTGCTGCTCACCAATTTTGTTTGCGCCTGCCAAGCCTGTTCCTCCCTTCGCTGCCGGTGGTCGATGTAGCGCTGCAGCGTGGCCACCTCTGGGAGGAACATGCCACGCATGACGTGGACTCCATCTACGAACTGCAAAAAACACAAAGTAGCCGCCAAAGTGAAAACAAACCTTCATCATGAGAAAGCTTGCTTTGACCCCCTAGGATCTCCACCCCCCCCAAACCAAAACAAAAAGAAGGAACGACTGAATACAAAATTACCGCAACGCACACACTTGAAATGAGAAATGCGCAAGTCAGGCACCATGGGGTGGGGGTGCAAAACAAAGCCCCTCAAGAGGTCGCAGAATTCGGCTTGCTGCAATGTATTGGATGAACCCAAGCACTTTTGTTGCAATCTGTGTGAAGTTGAGCAATTTAATCGCACCCGGCCCCATCTTCGATGAAGTGCCCATGCCCGGGGAACAGGCTCACCGGCTGCATGTGGAGCATCTTCCGGAGAGAGTCCATGTAATCCTCCGAAAAGGCCACTGACTGAGCTTGACGTGGATGCATTCGTCAAGCACGCCATGTCCCCTATGGGCAGGTCCAGAACACGTTGCATGCGTACATGTTTTAGTTTTACGCATTTAAGAAATATGTATGCGTTTCTATATATATATATATACACATACAACTTATGTATTTACGTAGTTTGTACTTATTTATTTACTTGTTTATCTATTTATTTAATTATATCTATCCATGTACTTATTGTTTATGTATTTTTGATGTATTTATAGATGCACATATGAAAACACACAGACTTTGCACACATGTTCAGGGCGTTGCCTTTGTTTTACACATTGCGTATTTGCGCAGCCATAGGTCAAACAGGGCACCCAATCGCCGTGTGGCAGGAACCCGTGCACTCGCGACCCAAAACATGACGGCGGTGGTTTGGAGGCCTGGAGTGCACGAGTTCGGTACGGCTGACCCCTCCGAGGGCCTGTGAAAAGGATTTCGGGCACCATTCTGGGTATGTGTCAAAATAGGGAGGCCCAAGAAATAAACCTGAATTCCACTTTGGCTTCCCTGGGAAAGCAGGGTACCCTCAACAAAAGCACAGACCCCCTCCAGTCCTTCATCTCCAGTATGAAGGTGGTGCCCCAGCCCAGCACGTGGTCCCCTGAGAAGAGCGAGTGCTCCTCCTCCAGCAAAAAAGACATGTGGTCTTCCGAGTGGCCCGGCATGTGCATGGCAACCTTGGCGATCCGTCAGATTCTTGCCACTGGTCTTAATTGCCCTGATTGAAATAAGCTTGGCAGACCTGAGGCGACCTGCACTGTTATGGCCGACTTCTCCCAAACCAAGCGCCTCAACAACAACCTCGGACCGTCATGGGAAATTGCTGGGTCCATGGAGAACAAGATTTATGCGTGCGCCAACATCATTCGACAAACGTTAGGCAACCCTCGTGAACGTGCACGAGCCCTCCCTCTGGGCCAAAAGTCAGAACGCCAAAAAACCACTGTACCATCACTGCAACCAAGCACCACGGGTAAATGTCAGTGAAACTTGCCCCCAAAAACAAAAACAGAAGGCACGAACAGAAAGCAATCCTTCAGAAGCTAACTAGGTTCTGGTTGGCAGCCAGTGTCGCACCCTCCGTGACAATGCGGTCCCCACTCGCCAAAGGATTCCAAGGGTATTCGTAGCTCCTCAGGCGATCCAGGAGGTCTTGGTGATGCCACAGCAGGAAAAAGAACCTGTGGCCAAGGTCAAGCGAAACAAAAGCCCGTGATTTAGCATATCAAGAGCACCAATGTTGGCCTAGGATTAATCTTCGCCTGGTTGATTAACATTGGGGGGGCCCATTTAACGAGAAACCTTCACTTGGAAAGCAAAACACTCCCGATTCATCCACCAGGTGTGTGAATCCAGGATCGCCATCATTGTCTCCTCGAGATGTTTCTGCAACGCGCCCAGCATCAATTCCCACTCCCAACATTTGGAGATCGTGAAGGTTTCCCGGACCTACACGTGATTTTCCACATCCCCACAGCAAAAGAAAGAAGAAAAAAAACACGGGAATGGTACAAAAAGGGCCCACAAAAAGGGCCCGCTGCACGGCAATGGTCAGCTTGTTTCACCATAGCTTCGACGCCTGTGGAGCTTCTCGCCCGTGGTCTTGCCATGGAAATTCTTCACCTGGCGGTTCGGACGAAACAAAGAAACCAGCGGCTCATCTAATGAGAACCAAAAAAACTTGTTTTGGCTGCTACCCTGTTGCTTGGATTCGGTAACTGTAGTTGTTCAACCGTTCTGCGCCGACTTGTCAGCGAAATCAATGAACTCCAAACAACAAAGCTCTTCATATGTCTCTTGGAACATCGCCGACCAAGGAGAAACTCAAGCAACAGTGTTGCTGCGCTGCTACTACATTCAGGGCTCCAGTAATCCCAAAAATGGAAATATAATGGTCCGCAGGTTGGGCAAGCCGTTCAGGCCGGCTCGCCTTGTTCCGGGCCCACGAGACGTCCAAATCTTTCGGCAGCGCCGGAGGCTCGGCGTCGCTCGGGTTGAGAAGAGGCCTGGCAGCCAATTTGATGCTGAGCGCTGCACTGGGCACAAGGGAGCCCAGCTTTCTTTGACCAAAGCAGTTGTGGTGTGCACATATTTGCATCATGAGTGGGTCATGGCTGATGGCTGAGGGCATGCCGATTTGTTGTTCGGAGCCACTCCAGAATCGCAGGTGGAACGCCACAGTCAACGCCAGCCCGGTGGGTGGCTCAGGTGACAGGGAGCTTGCATTGCATTGCGGACAACTTGTTCGACTTCGCAGGGTTTTGAGGCACCCCAACGTTTTTGCCGCGCCCCAAAAAACAAAAGCTAATCAACTTCAAACAATTGGTTCAAGGCAGGGTGGAAGGCAGGGTACCCTGATGTTGCCCAGCGCTGCCTCCCATCCAAGCCAACAAAATATTGCAGCTGACCGCGGCGCCGGATTTCTGCCAGCAATGGAAAGGTCTCGCGGTCAATGTCACGGGAATAGACCGGGACTGGGCCGTACTTGCTTTGCAGCCTGCAGGCTCGATACGTTTTCAATGTCAAAACCCACCAAACGGCACGGGTCTAATTCATGCGTAGGATGTGCAGGGAGGCCGATTTTTCTCAAAGGTGCCAACTCAATTCACACCGGGCGAATCCATTGCAACATCTGTTCATTGAAAACCAAGGGAGGTGATGGCAACACATGCCTTGACAGCCCTCGCCTGCCAACATTGCCGTAATGGTCATGGTGCATGTGGGTAATGACAATGCCATCCAGACCTTCCACCCCCAACTCCTTCAGGCACTTGTCCAAAATATCCATGAAGGCCTTGCCGCCCCGGTACTTTTCCCCGGCGTCCACCAGCAGGCGTCGCCGGCCAGTGCCGACCAAGTAGCAATTCGTCCCATTCAACGTAAAGGTGGAAGGGTTCCTCACTTGTTCTAGGAAAAAAAACAAATCAATCATTCTAGAAACTAGATCTAGACAATGTTCACTTTTGTCCACCCCCCCTCCCTCTCCCCAAAACAAACAAAAACAACGCATGATAGGGCAGGTTTGCACGACTGGGGCTCTGGGCGAGCACGCAAACCACCCGCTCCGTCAATTGCTCCCAATCAGGCTGTGGTTTCAGCTCGCCCTCTGTGAATCGACTCAGACCAGCTGCCACCACATTCCTCCTGGCAGGAATTGGGCCAACCAGTTTGCGCATCAGCCACAAACGACCTACTGACGCCGCCCACCTTCCACCAAACATTTGCTGAAACGAACAACCAACGAATCCACAGCATGTGGTGCAAAAGGCGCACGTGCCCAGCGCTGCTCCTTGACTTCTCCGGCCTGCTGGGCCTCGCAGGCCAACTTCCCTGCGGCGGGCTGGCGCAGGCTTCCGGCCGCAGAGCCGCACTGGGCCCACCGGGCGCGCCGAAGTCCTCGAAGTCATCGAAGGGAACACAGCATGAGCAACCCCAAGCCATCATGCCAGGCTGCGCGCCGGCCCCTTTCCTTTGGAATGGGGGGGGGCGCTGTCACTATCCGGGCTATGTTTGAATGGTCTTTTCACACCGCCTTTGACAAATGTGACTTGTTCCTAAGTGCTCTTGCTGGAGCAGGTTAACATGGAAGATGCTAGACTCAGGAGCCACATGCAGACAGCCCCGCAAGCTTGCCCATTGGAAGGCTTGCCATCAACACGCCTGAAGCCTGCTTTAGGAGACGGCCTCATGCCATGGGCGGAGTCGTCGCGCGCACACGGCGGCTACCGAGCCGCGAAGCATCGGGGAAACGCCCAAGTCCGGGCCGGATCACCAGTGATCTTAAACAGGAATTGACACACGTTTGGAAACTGTTGACCTGAGATGTTTCACAGGTTCCAGTGCACCGATGTGGCTGCCACTGCTTGTTTGCGTTGCCTCTGCAAACACCTTGGTGCCAGAGCCCGGGCCGCGCCCAATTCGCCCTAGCAATGCAACGTTCATCAAGGCAAGAGACCGCTATGGTCACGGACAAGGGTGTTCGTGGTGACCCGAGCCCCAGCCTCTGCTGCATTTGTGCTCCCCTTGCTGTTTTGTCAGCTTCTGCGCTCCTGCGGCCTCACTTGCTTTTGCGGAAGCCCATGGCGCAGCTGTCACCACCTGCCTTTTGGGCCGGAGCGCTGCAAGACACCCTTCCCGCACTGCCGCCCACAAGCCAGGCCCCGCCCTCTGAGGCCTGCTTCAGTCTCAGACCAGGAAGCGTTTGAATTGCCCACTCAACGGGCCAAGAAATGAAGGTGGCCGCTTTCAAACCACTCGCACCCAAGCCTGCGGTTGGGCAGGCCCTTCAGTTTTTGGAGAAAGCGCGCATGTCTGCCGGGACTGGTGCCAGAGTGACTTGCAACACGCGGCTTGCTGACATGAACCTCCACGTCAAACAATTGACGACAGACGCGAGGTTGTTGGAAACGGCTTGGTTGACACCCCCCTTGTGTGGCCGTTGACCAGCCAGGGCCAGCCTTGCCCCGCGAGGAGCGGACGTACTGAGCTCCTTCGATCTGCGAAATGCCGCTTGGTCGTGCTTGCAATCGAGGTCGGCGGCCGTTGGAGGCCGCCGCCTCTTTCGTGCGCGGCGAGGTCCCCGCCAGGCTGTGCTTGTTGCGCTGGTCCGCACTCTTGGCACCGCAATGTCCGCCTTTGCCGTCTCCTTGACAAGCATGCCGATCGGGCGCAGCATTGCAATCTTGATGCGAGTGCCGCCTTTTGGCAGCCGATGGCCTGAGCTGCTGAGAGACGTGAATGCCCCTGTTGATTGCCTTGATGACAGGCAAATTTGAGGCCATCACCAACAGCCAACGGCCTGCTTGTGGAACGCTGCCAAGCTCGCAATCAAATGCTGCGCCACGCTCCTGCGAGGACACAATTGCTTCCTTGCGGGCGGTCATGCGAGAAGAGATTCATATGTTTTTTAAAAGAAAAGTCAAGATGGACCAGTCGCTGGGTCAAATTCGTCCAGAGTTGGCGAACGAAAGAGATGCGCGGCATGCGAAACCCTTTAAGGGACGCCTTTTTCCGGCTGCCGGCTTGAAAGGCCGCCCTACGGCAGAGCAATGCAAGCTCAAATGCTTGCACGCGCTCCGGGCGCGTCACAAGATACAAATCGTCGAGGAACGCGAGCAGCAGCTTGCCTTCTTGGCGCTTGGCCGCGGCTGCGGAGAGCGCAGCATGCAGTGCAAGGGCAAACAAAGCCGGGGCCAGGGCATCGCCTTGTTCACAGCCGTTCCCTTGGCGTCCCACCACAAGTAGCTCGAGAACTGCCCATAAAACTGGCGGGCAGCAACTTGGGAGCGACGGATTGTAGCTGGCGCAGGATCCGCCCCGCTTACCGTGTCGTAGGCGGACCGTCCGTCGAGCGACAAGACTGCAGCCTCCGAGTCGGCGTTGGTGATGGCGCGCAGCAAAGCCACCAATGCATCCGTGCCCGCCCGGGCCCTAGCGGCCTCCCCGCTCCATCGGCCTTCCACCTCCACCGCCAGCACGACGGGCTGCGGAAGGAAGGCCAAGACCACCAAGGCAGAGAGGCGGCACGCACGGTCGGTCAGGTCTCCTACCCCGAGCAAGGCTGCAAGGGCTCACGCAATGGCCGCGTCATGCGCTTGTGCGAACTCTGCAATGCCAAACGGGAGAAGCATGCGAAGCAGGTAATTCAGCGCGGGCTACAGGAAGAGCAGAGAAGCATGCGAAGCAGGTAATTCAGCGCGGGCTACAGGAAGAGCAAAAGCAACCAAATTCTGGTATGCAGGGACGACACACAACCGTCCACACATCATCCGAGAAGACAACAAGCCGCTCTCCAGGCTGCAACTGGGAGTGCGCCTCCTGCAGCGCACCGTGCTGGCCAAGCGCGTCGAGCGCTGGCCGCAACGGATCGCCTTGCACTCCCTCTTCTGCTTGCTGCACAACATGGGACCGCCGCCACACATACTCGGAAGGCTATGAGTAGAACATTCGCACAAAGGGCAAGCATTGGTTTGCACCGGGGATGTGTAAGAGACCTGGGCTCCAATGCCATCAGCACAAACGAGCGTGCTATCGGGATCCAGCTCAATGACTGCTGCGAACAACACTCTCAGCGGTAGACAAGGCAAACTGCAGGAGGGCAACGACATGGCGCCCCAGGCCAAGCGCCCGCCCTGCAGCCTGCAACCCCAGGCACATCCGCTCGGGCAACGGGGGAAAACAAGTCCGCGGATCTCTCAGCACGCGGGCGACTTCGACCGTGAGGCCTGACGGGGGGCAGCCTCCTTCTGCACACGTCGCAAGTTAGCCAAGATGAGCTCAGGGAGAAGCTGGACCTGATCAGCCTGACCCATATGGTTCGGCGGGGCGCCGCTCTGGATCACGCAGTTCTTGCAAGGCTTCCAGGGTGTAGGGGCGAGCGCCCAGACGCTAAGGCCTGTCTGAGTTCAACCCAGCGACCTTCACGGAAAGCCGTAACGCGCACAATACTCATGCTCGGGCAGCTTCCGGACGCCAGGGCCGGTGCAACAACACGCGGGGGAGCAAAAAGCACAGCTTCCACGCTCGCCTGGACCTATCCTTGTTCCAGGATGGCTGTGCGGTTCCGGCACTGTTTCGCGCCAATGTCTTTGGTAACTGCTCCGAATTAGGCAGGGGCCGTGGATGGCCGTGGGCAACCCAACCGCGCTACATCAAGGGCTAGCGTACGAGGCCCGTGCACAGCACAACATGGTGCCTCCGGCACTTGATGCAACATCGGGTGTTGATGCGTCAGACACCCACTGGTTCGGCCTTGTAGGGGGACCCAGGCCATCAAGCGTGATGGCAAAACTATCCATGCATCATCCGAAGGTGGGGGCGGGAACCGTCGATCAGGGCAAGGTGGTTGCAAACCAGGGCAACAACTCCATGTGGAGCAGGCGGGATAGGCACGGAGCGAGTGTCATAAGGACGGCGGCTTCAGGCATGGGCACCAACTCCGCGCAACACAGCCTGGCGAACTGCTGCTGGGCCACATCCGAACACCCTCACCGACGACACGGAATGCACGGTTGGTGAGTGAGAATGAGGCAGACAGGTGATGAACGCTGGCATGCTGTGCTTGTGTCCGGTCCGCAGCTGACCGTTTAGGACGGGGTTGGTAGTAGGGCAGTTGCAGGCCCAGCCCCACCCTGTTGTGGTTGAAGGCAACGATGCGCGGGCGCTGCCTGCACCACCGTCCGCGCGCTTGCCTGCTGTTGGGGGGCTCTTTCCATGTGCCTCCAGGGCTCTCCGCCAGCCAGCTGCCTGCCTGGATGCGCGGTGGTACTCGGAGTGCCTTTTGTTTTCCACGCGCCTTTTTTCCTGCGCAGCAAATCTGGTCCCAAAAGCCCTACATTAGGGATGCCTCCGGGCACAGGAGGGCTTGAAGGAAGCTCCGAGCACGATGCGCACAAGGGGTGCGCCCTCCAACGGCAAGGCAGGCGAGAGGCGAGGAGCGGAGGACCCCCTGTGTCAGCAAGCAGGGGCAGCGCCCCGTCACATTGCGGAGGCCGCGGCCGTCCGGCACAAGAGCGCCGGCAAAGGCTGTCATGGCCGAGCGCGCCAAGAGAGCAGACCGCCGGGCAACCAAGGAGCGAGTCACACTGGCCCGAAGCCGCGCAGGCGCTTCCCGCGCCAAAGGCGCGCGCAAAGGATGCCGCTTCCTCGCTCCGCCCTCCAACCTCCACAGCGAGGACAACCAAGCGGCAGCGAGCTGACCGCAAAAGCTCTGGGCAGGCTCGTTCCTTGCGGCGGCGCGCCAAAGCCAGCGTTGCGCGTGCGCACCGGCCGCCGCGCCGGTTGGGCACTCCCTGGCCAGACAAGGGCCCCCGCTCACGGCAAACCCGCGCGGCGCACCTCTCCAAAGGACAACCTCACCCCCGAAGAGCCCCTGATGGCGCGCAAGCAGAATGGTGGTCGCCAAGAGGGTCCAGAAGGCGACGACACCGGCAGAAGCGCTCGGAGAGGGGGAGCGGGAGGCGGAGACGCCTCAAGAGAAGCACCCGAGGGCCTGACTGGGAGTGCAGCATGGCTTGGCCAGCCGGATCCAAGCTTCCAAGCAAAACGGCCTGGCAGTGGGCTAGCCCCGCGTGCGCAGCTTCACACTGCCAGCCGCGCAAAGCACAGCTGGGGCCGTGCAAGGCCGGGTCGCAGACAGCTGGCCCACCAGCAGCTGTGGCCAGTCCGGGTTCCACCCTGCAGCTTGCAACTCCTCGAAAGCACGGCACGCTGCGCGCAATTATGCCGCTAGCTTGGTGGCCAGCGACATTTTTGGTGTGCATGCTGAGCCTCCTGAGGCCGTGAAAGACGAAGCTGCCCTCTCAAACAAAAACAGCTCGTGAAGCTTCCCGTGCCCGGACCATAAGCAAGGCGAAGCCCTCTAGTGCCCGGAGGCGAACCCCTTAAGCACACCGACGCTTGCAGCGGAAATACGCGCGCGAGAAAAAAAAAAAAAAAAAAACGCTGAGTCTCCCTCAGCAGCGAGGAGTGGTGGCTTGAGCAAGCCCGGGCGCATTAGCGAGATG